ACGCTTAAATCGATATGGGCCCTGCTGTTTCAGCCTCTCCCACAGAGGGAACGATGCCTGTTCCGGGGGTGTGAGGCATCATTTAAACGTTTCCTTTGAGGGGACGCAGAATAGCTGATGGCAGAGTCCTCCGATACTGCAGCTCCGGCCGGACATGTAAGAAGGTGTTGTGGTGTCACGTTACCAAGGACAGGAGGTTACAGGAGAAAGCTGACACGTTCAAACAAGGTGCTCGGATGCAAATGAACAGTGATGGTGCTCCTTTGAAAGCACGCCACCTGAGCATTAAAAAGCAAAGTGTCGTGGCTCGCGTGGTCAGTTATATTTAGCATCGATGTGGGTGTTTACATCTCCATGTCATTCATACATATAGTGCAAAATAAAAACCTTTCAAATGAGATTTTTATACTGAACCTCAGTACTCCTTATCCCAGATTGGTATCCGTGTTGATATGGTGTTGAGATGGTTCAAGTTTAGGGTTTTTTTAACATTTCAAGCACCTCTTTCGTTTAGAATAAAGAGCTCCACGAACCCCTCGATATACCAAAAGATGCGACATGGCCTCCTGAGAAATAACGTCCATCCATACGTTTCTACTGGTTCCCTGAGTCAAAGTCCTGTCTTCTAAGGCTGAACTGAGAAAGTCTTCAGCATCTATTTTCAGCCATTTTGAGCCACCTAGTGGTGGAAAACTTACAACTTCAACTGATTTCCATGAAAACACCTAACACAATGTTATAGGATACTGATGAATAAACTATTTAAGGATTAACTGTGGGGTCATTGCTGTGTTTTTCATAGTTTTGTTCCTGTATTTCAATCGATATTCTGCTGAAATGTTTCTGAATTTGCAGAAATCTGTTTTGCTTTTTCACAGAAACATGACATAATGCTTTTTAGATCATTCTGTCCTTTTTTTCTTTTTTTTTAGTTTTCCAGGTCCGATTTACTTACGAGCTCGTAGAAATTCAGATTTCTCAAGACAGTGACCATCAATTAATGAGATTTGTCATTTCCCCTTTTCTTTTCCTTTTTTTTTTCCAGACTCCAGTGGCTCTCCCGTGTGTGACCAGTGCCTTCACCACTACAGCGGGCCGCACTGCTCCAACTGCAGCGCGGGTTTCTACAGGGCGGCGGGGGCCTGCGTGCCGTGCGACTGCAGCGGGAACGCCGACCCCCGGGGCCCCCCCC